ACATAATTGATGAACATTAACTTAATTTGGATTGGGATAATTACATTAATTACGACATAAATTCTACTTTTTTTTTCCTTCTATTTTGAGCTATAAACATTTAATATACTATATTTCCTATCATTCCTCGTTAAAAACAAACGCAATTTTATCAATGTTCAGAAGTAATCAACCCTGTTAATTGCATTGGTCACAAAGAGACCAAAAGTATATTCTTTTCTTTTTTCCTCAAAAAGAGAAGTAAAAAAAAAAAAAACAATATTAAAATAACTTATCTCTTACTCAGAGTTCCCATTATTTCGTGTTTGAAACCCATATACTAACAATACTATATCGTTTCATTGTACAAATTTACTGAAAAAAAAACCTCTAAAATCTTTATCTACCAAATTTTCAAACACCAAATACCCTTTTTTTCTTTCAAAATCTATAATTTTTAATCCATTTCTGCCCATTTTTTTAAGGGCCTAAAACACCAAAAGAAACTTAATCAAATCCACTCCAAACTTTTTTCAGTTCATTTGCTCACCAATCAAGTCCAACCCCATCACCAGGAATGACAAACCTTGGAAAAGCAAGAAATAGAAGTGAACTCCATGTGCTGACAGCAAGCTTCTAGCAGCTGCAGTGAGCAGCAGAAAAGCAAGAGCAAGCTCTTTTCTATACACCTTGTTTCTCTTCTTCTTTGAACCCTTTTGCGTCTCTTCTTGATTCAGTTTGCTCAACAACTCGAGCCCCGACTCCGAATGCCTCCTCAGAATCTTCTCCTCGTTCGAATATTTCGACTCTCGCTCTGCGAGTGCTAAGAAGTCTGATTCGGATGATCGTCCTGTCTTCTTTGTCACGACCCATTCGTAGGAACTTCCGAGCTGGAATAGCCCCGAAACCATGGCGTTGAACTTCGTGACCGACATGGTGTTCTCAAACAAGAGGTAGGGGATCAAGAAGGGGAAGGATTTTGGGGATGGAAGAATGTTTAGTAAGGACATGAAGACTGGGATGTAGCAGATTACCCAGAGAGGCAATTCTGCTTCTGGAATGAACATTGTCAATGGAAGTATTATGCAAAACAAAGTGAATGAGTAAAAGGGAAGTATGAGTTTTCTCAGCAGAAAGAACAGAAATATCAAGTTGGTCTTCTTCCATATTGATATCTGCACCAGAAAACATTCATTCAAATCTAAACGATCAGTCGAAAGTTTAAGCTCGGCGAGTCGAGTAAGTGACATAGGAGAGTGTTTGAAAGTAAACCTTTGAAGTAATGATTGAAGGAAGGCATAATCTGAAGAGCTGCATTGGACCAGAATGCCAACGGTGTTGCTGTTTCTTGTAAGCTTCATATGATTCAGGCAATTCACAGAGCACCTTAACATCATTGAGGAAGATGAATTTCCATCCCTTCAAGTGTGCTCGAACTGCAATATCCATATCTTCCACGGTTGTTCGCTCGAGCCAGCCACCTGATTCCTCAAGTGCTTTTGCTCTCCAGACGCCTGCGGTTCCATTGAATCCAAAGAAGTTCAGGAAAACCCCATTTACTTGCTGTTCCACTTCAAAGTGGAAACACAAGTTGATGTTTTGGAGCCTCGTAAGTAAGTTTTCGTCCTTGTTAACGAACGCCCACCGAGCTTGGACGAGACCCAGCTGAGGATTTCCCTGTAACATGTTAAAAATAGATAAGATTGACAAAGTTGCAAGAGAGCTAAAAAAAATGAAATCTTCCATTGATTATGAACTTTTCTCATAAGTACCTTGAAATGGGGGATCGTTTGTTTAAGGAAATCAGGGTTGGGCTGGAAATCTGCATCTAAAATAGCTACAAACTCGTAATCTTTAACATAATCACAAGCCATGGCAGACTTGAGATTCCCAGCTTTATACCCAGTTCGGATCAATCTATGTCTATAAATTATTTTAACACCCTTCTCATTCCATGATAGAACTTCTTCTTTGATCAAACGTTGAAGATTTCCGTCGTCTGAATCATCCAGAACTTGAATCAAAATCCGATTCCTCGGCCAATCAAGCTGACAAGCAGCAGCAATCGATTGTGCATAAACCTATTCCATGGTGTTTACAACCACAAGAGATCAGATCAAGTTACAGAGCCATTGAGTTTAAATCAAACACCTTGTGATCAAAGAAATCTGGGAAGTTCTGAATCATTACCTCTCTCTCATTGCACATTGGGATTTGAACAAGAACCATCGGGAAAGTCGAAGCGTCTTCCAAATCATAAGCATCTTCCTGAATCGTGGGTTTGATTTTCTTGAATTTGATCCAGAAGCAGCCAAGGCAGAGAACAAGACGGTCGAGAGATTGGATCAAGAACAGAACAATGCAGAATTTGGAAAGCATAAGTACCAGTGGAGCAATGTAATCGACTCGGAACGAAGTCCAGGAGACGTAAAACCATTGGACGAGTCCTTGAACCTCGAGCTCCAATGGCTGAATCACTCGCAGATTCCACTTCTTGAAATGGGCGACGATTTCAACGATTAAAGCCGCGATGGAAATGGCGAGAAAGGCTATGATGAATCTGTACAATTTCCCTCGGTTTTTGGAATTTTCCCCGTTAATGTCCGCATGAGCAATGCGTTTCTTAACAGAAGTAAACACAGTCTTGACAGTTAAAGCCATCCACGAGAAGAAAAACAGAGCTCTGTGGGCTTTGAGAAGAAGAACCCACGTGAGCTGTTTCGGACTGGCAGCCTTCTGCTTCTCGGGAAGTAACAACGAATCAGAGGCATTGATTTCCACAAGAGGGAAGCTGTTGTGCTTCTCAATTGTGACCACAACAGAGCTCGGAGCCATCTGGGTTCGGATCCAAAAGAAGAACAGAGAAACAGAACAATTCAAAAAAAGAAGAAATTCAAAGACCCAGATGGAAATTGGAGTAGAAAATCAGTTGGAAGAAGAAAGCGCCATTAAAAGAGAAGAAATGGGAGAGTGAGAGCGAATGTGGGGGAAGAATTGTCAGAAAAAGTGTGGATTTTGAAGTATTGGGAAGAGGGATCTGTGAAGGGGTTTAAATTATTAAAGGGAAACCGAATCCAGAAGTTGAGTGGGACTTTCCCATGAAAGTTTGACAGAACAAATCTGAGGTCAAAGCTCAACAGATACAGAAGAAATAGATCTCAACTTGCTCAAGTGATCTACTAATAAAGGAAGAAGAAGAAGAAGAAGAAGAAAACTTTTTTTTTTTTTCTATTTTCTCAAAAAATAATTTGAAAGACAGATCCTTCTCTGCTCCATATTACTCAGTTTCAGGCTTTCAGTTGGGTAGGACCATTACAGCAGCCCTACAGGAACAGAAGAGAACAATTTCTATAAACGAAATTAGAACACTTTTTGAATAAAAAAGAAAATAAAAACCCTTTTTTCTGAAAATTCAAAAAAAGCCCACAAATCTATTTCAAAATAGATGGAAGATAAAAAAGGAAAAAATAAAAATAAAAATGTCAGTATCTATTATGTAATGTATGGGTGGATCCTGGCTAGCAACAATGATATCTAGTATCTTAACTTTTATGGGAATCTGATTTCATTAATTAATATTTCATTGCTCATGTTTGGCTGTGTGATTATGTAATTATTAAGACAGCTATGTCAGTTTTTTTCCTTTTTAATTACTGTTCTTTTTCTCTCTTATTGCTTTTGATTCTCTCCCTCTCATCTAAATGATACTCCCATGTTGTCTAATATTATTCTTTTGGAAATTTTTTGTTTTCTAAATTCAATTCTTGTGCCTTTCCCCTATTTTAATTTCATCACATTAAATATTAAATTTTTTTTGAATGTGTGGTAAAATAATTATCTTATCCATGTGACCATAACTCAATAAATTATAAGACATCTATTATCATTATAAATAGTTTAATCTTCCATTCCTACAATTATTTAACTCAACAAATAACTAAAATAAGTATCTCTAATTTGTTAAATTCTTTAAGATTTGGAACTAGTTATAAATATTTAAAAAATATATATATATAGTACAACGAAGATTGGGTTACTGAAATTTGAACCTCCAATTTCTAGTGAATAAATATATATCATTTACGACTGAGCTATGAGTTAACAAAGTAAAAATATTATCAATTTATCTTTTAACTTGTTATATACAAAATCATACTTAAAAAAAAGGAATTCTTACCTTTGTTCACAAGTTATTATGCATTTATTCCTATGATTTGTGTTATTTCTAAAGATTACTTAAAAGTTGTACTCAAATTAAAGCCCAAAAATAATTCAACAGAAAACAATTTTTTTAATGATTTAAAATATATAAATTTAATTATTCAAACTATTTTCTGTATTATAAAAGGAAATGTTAATTCAACTAAAACCAATTTAATTGGAGCTTGGTTGGCGGTGGAGGAAGGCCAATATTGGTATTTTGTGGGGTAGATTCGAGATATTATTTTAAAATTAAGTGGGTCATAAAAGTAGGGCATATATAACCCAAAACTAATAAAGATTTCAATTTTATTCTATTTTAATGTTTATATTTTTAAATATTTTATTTTAAGATTCTTAATTATATAAAGTTCATGAGTTAATTTAACCCAGGTAGGTTCAACTATGTATATAACTCCAATAAAAAATGTGAATTCGAATCTTCACTTTCACGTGTGGTTGTATTAAAAAAAAATTGTTAATTAATTTAAATAAAAATAATAATTATGAATATTCAAGAATCAAATTAAAATTATACATTCCAAATTCCATAAATGTTAAAAAAGAAAAATCTCCTCTTATTCCTCCAACCTCCTAATTCAAGGACTATTTTCATAAATAACAGTAAAGTATACTACTTTCCACAAATAATTATTTTAATAAATTTGTAGATATAGCATAAAATGGTAAATTTATAATTTCGATTTTCTCTAAACGTCTAATTTTTCATGAAAACAAGTAATCAATACATTAAAATGTAAAAATATACCTACATATACAACAAATGCTAATTTTTCCTTTCAAAAAATGCCAACTTTGATATCTATATGCGATTCTAATTTTTGTATTCTATCCCCTAATTTCAAATAATTTTAACCATGCCCAAAGTATCTATAAAATAATTAAAAAGATCTTTGACATAAAAGATTGATGTTAGACTATAATTTAATAACATTTTTTTAAATTAAAAAAATATTTGATATATTTATCTTATATTATATTTTTGGCTTAAACATGTTTAATCTCTCACCATACATTTTTTTTCACCAATCAACTTCTATGATATCTAACATATTTTCTCTTTTAATTTTTCTCCTATATTTCTTTTCATGCTTTTTTTCATCACGACTTCTCGATCTTTACCTAAATATATATATATATATATATTATATATATATTTTGTAATATCTCACTCTCTATGATTTCTTTGTACATATTTTTTCTATTTCAAAAATCTCTATTTTAGGCACAAATTTTATCACATTTTACTTTACTTTTATTATTATTACGAGATTGAATTCTTGATCTTTGGTGCCAGTCTTCCATAGGCTCAGAAAAAGGACAACTAATCAAAGTGGGACCAGCTCGTGAGGAGTATAGTTGCTTTACCGAATTTACAAGGTGAAGCAGCGATAACTTCCTTTATTTCATTTTAGTAGTTTGTAAATTTTAGAAATATTTCTTTTTAAGTATAGACTAATTACTAAAAAAACTTTCACAAAATGTCTTATCCATGAAATAGGGTGAAAATGACCTTGATTACTTAACTGTTATTCCCAAGTCATTAGTCTATAGGTTTGACTAATTAACCATTTTAAATATGAGGAGGAGAATTGTTTAAGCATTTGCATTAAATCCAAGGTCTCTCTTTATGTAGATTTAACTTTATGTGTTATCTAAAGTAGGGTCAAAGTAAGCACTTTATTACACAAAAAGGTTCTCTCTAAATTATTTTATATGCTTTCCAAGTAAATGCTATTATTTTTATAATATATATAATCAATCTGACATAATCAATTTTATAACTAATACTTATTTTTTAAAATGAAATAAAGGATTGTGTTGCTTACACATTATGATATATGATGACCATAATTATAAGATTAACATCCCAATCAACTTCCATGCATAAGCAAAGCATATGATATTATCATGCCATGTTTAATCAAATCAGATCAAATCATACAGATGGGCATTTGTCTTGGAATCTTCAACTGGCATGCTTCTTTTCCAGAAATAGGGAGATCTAAATCACGATAAACTTTACAAATATTGTTAGCAATAATTTTGGTTTCAAGTTTCAACTTCGCAACAAAAAATTATCCAATCTAAATATAATTCAACTGTATTTTATCTGAAAAAAATTTCTGAAATATTGTACCATTCATAGTCTTCTTAGATCAAATAGAAAGTTATTTTTCCGACCTATAAAATATATAATTTTTACTTAGTTATTTAGAAAAACTATTAATCTTTGACATGTTCTAAATGTTTTAAAATGACAAGTTAAAATTTACTTGGGTAATCTGCCATTTAGTATGAATTTTTTTGAAAATCATACAAATAAAGTTTAACATTTGAAGGTTTAAATTTTGTTTATTGAAAATTAAAGATGAAATTAGGTTATTTTTACCACCACTCATCATCACATTGGCAGATAGTGCATTTTATTCATCCCTTCACATATTACAAGTCTTGCAGCTAGTTGGGATTGGAACTCCTGTTCAACCATCTAATTTACATGCTTCACAAACATACTACGCTTCGATGCAATGACCCTAGGTCAACGATGAATATTTAAAGTAGTGTCTTTCGTTCAGAGTCAGGTCAATGCTGTTAAATAATATTAACTATTTTACCAACTTGTTCAACAAGTATACTCGAAGGCCAAAGAAAATTTGTAGCCACTTAAATCTTTATACTTTAATACCAAAATGTGGCAAATTTGTGGTTACTAGAAATTGACTTATAGTCAAGTATCTTTTGACTATAAAATAGGTGGGCGCCATTGTTGGCAAACCATCTCAAATCCCAAATCAAGTAAACTAAAGTGTGAGATAAAAATAGAGTGAGAGTTTCTCTTTATAATAGGTCTTGTTCTTCTTTAGAGAGAGTTTGTAACTCTTATTTTAAGAGTAGAATTCTTTTATTTTGTACCGGTAGCTTTTACCCTAATTTGTTCACGAGTTTTTCAGGCAAAATCACAATCTTTCCATTCTTCCCATTTTTGTTCATTATCAACCTACTTTAGCTGCAATTCTACCCTCCATTAAATCTCAATCTTTCCCAACAAATGCAACTACATACACAATCATCCAGTACCTCTCTAATATAAACATCATAGTATATGTTTAGCAGATACAACTAACACGACGACACGCGACACCGATATAATTAGCTTTGAGTAGTAGGATAGAGATAAAGTATAAGTGGTTTAATTTTGTTGGGTGAAAGGTGAGAAAAGTGGGGAAGGGTGGCTAGGTGGGGATGCAACCCAGCAACCAAACAAGGGGGGATTAAGCAGAGGGATATGGCATTTATATAATTAGGCTTACACATAACATTAAATCAAAATCTCATTCTCATCACCAAAAGCGACTTCTTCTGTAGCCCACACAACAATGCCCTATCTTCTTCCTTAATTACTCACCCCATGTGCTAACTCCCCCTCTTCTCTATGCCCTCTATATCTAACCTGTCCATTTCCCAGCTCTTCAAAAATACATCAAAATACAATTAATTAATTAATTAATTAATACTCCCTCTGATCTCCAATCCCAACATTTTTTGTATATACCTTGAAATTTGTGCATGCCCATTAGTTTATTTCACCTTTGAATTTTGAAGTGGGTAAAGAAGTGTATCTCTAAGTTCGATTAATTATATATAACATGGCATCCACATGTCTTAGATGTGTATTAAGGATTTAATCTTGTTTATTTTTAGGCTATGTTTCATTAATATCCATATTAATTAGTTGAGTTAGGATTGGGTTTATGTGGCTCTAAGAGAAGCTCTTTTAGTAATGTGTATGTTGGTTTTTATTTTTCTTATTTTAGACGGATAAAAATAATGTATTTATCATAGTTTTTTTTTATTGAAAATGAGATATATATTTAGTAATAATTATCAGACACTCGCGTAGTTAAAGAAGTAGAGGCACTTGGGCAAATTTATAATATTTAATGGGTCTAATAAAAATGTGGTTCATATAGCATGGAAGACATTTATTAGAGGAAAGAAAATTTCTACTAAATCAATAATTAGCTTAGGGAGAACTTAGATACAATTATTGGAAAGGGTAGTTAGCTATAGAGGTTGTACTCACTCTAATGCATCATTTCATTTAGATAGTAGTAGATATATTTTTCATCCTATATGCTATGCATACACAACACTTCCTTTAATAAATTTATAATTCTCATCTAACTCAATGACTTCATTCGTCAATTTTATCTCGTTTCAGTAAGAAATAACACTCTACAATAATAGAATACTATGCGAATATCTATTTTATATTCTAAAAATAAATAAAAACAAGAAAGAGTAAAATTTTGGAGTTATGGCAACCCCTCTATGATTTTGAGTTTGCCTATAATTTACCTTGAGAACAAAAAATCAAATCTATTTTTGTTTTTTTTTTCTTGATTGTGTTGGAGATGAGAACATATAGTTTTATGTCAGGTAGAAAAGTGGGGATGGTCGAAATCAGGATACATTAGAGTAAGGACAACATTATTTTTTTTTTTTTGGTGAAATCAAAGGTAAAATCGACGCAGATTTAGATCTAAAAATGGACAATATCATATGAAGACGAACGACGTGGAAATATACCCTACAAAGAAAATGTTATACTTATCCAAAAGACATAATAAAATAGGAAACTACATTCTGATTTGGGAAGAAAAATGGAGAGAGTGGTGGTGGGGAGGTGTTGGAGAAAAAAAATTAAAGAAAGATGAGATGTGGACAAGTTGAATGAGGTAGAAACATGTGAAGGTTCAAACAAAAAACATAGGCATTTAAGGCTTATGCCCTCCCACCAAAAGACCACACCCTACCCTTTCTCAATTATCCCTTCCCCCACAATCCCTCTCTCTCTCTCTCTTCCCTCAAAAATTTCACTTTTGTCTCATGGCCTTTCTTTGTAGTTTAGTTTCTATATTGGAATTAGGAATATCCAGCTAAGCTCTTGCTTTGTTAGGTTAATTAATATTGGTTATAAGTTTGGCATGAAAATCTTTGGAGGTGTTTGGGCCATGGTTTTAGGTTTGCCAATTAAGTTGTTCGTGAGTTGCAGGGTTGTTTCATACCGTTTGAGTTGGATTGAGTTATAAATTTATAAGTTTGTTAAAATATTATTTTTATCTTTGTACTTTTAAAATGTTTATTTTAGTCTAATACTTTCAACTTTTATTTAGTTTAGTCTATGTACTTTTAAAATGTCCATTTCGATTTCTGTATTTTAAGAAAGTGATTATTTTGGTCTTTTAATTTTATTTTTAATCTCATTTTTTTCCATTAGGCATAGAATTTGTATTAAAACTTTGCAAATATGACCTAAAATGATCCCTCTTTGAAGTAGACTAAAATAAACATTTTGAAATTACAGAAATTAGGGTGAACCAAAGTTAAAAGTACAGAGATAAAAATGAATTCGAGTGAAAAGACAACAATCAAAATAGTAGTTAATTAATTATTTAGCTTTAAAATCTTGAGGAGTTAAACCATACCAAAAGAATTTACTAATTAAAAATTAAAATTTGCAACTTGAAATTTAGGTCCACACCCCTACTGGGTTGAAACATCTAAAACTCACTTACTACCAAACAAATTAGATTTTACAAATCTCAAACTCGTAAATTAAAAATAATCTTTATAACTGAGACTTGGGTGACTAAATTATTCTTCTATATATTCAAAACATAGTGTACACAAGATATTGATTTAGGTAAAATATTTGTCAAAATTCTTACGTAAAATCATGAAAGAATCAAACTAAATAACAATAGTAAAATTGGAAAGGACAATTTTATTTTCTTTGAAATTTAAATTAAAGGACATACATGATGTGGCGGTAGAAAAATACCAGAATGGAAAAAAGAGAGAAAAATTATTAAAATTTTGAATAGAATTCAGAAAGGGGCTTGTAGGGGAGTGGGCCTATCCGTCTATGGGCTTATTGGGCACCCAAAAAGTACCATAAAATACAATGTTTCTTTTTTCTGAAAATAACAAATAGTTTTTTTTTTCCTTTTTCTTTTTTGCTAACTAACTTTTTGTTTTCATCACTGTACTGTTCAATATAGCTCGACTAATTAAGGTGTATATATCATCAACTGAATTCAGAAGTTTCAATCTACCCCTCGTATTTTATTGAACTAGAAGTATATATATTACCTTCTCTTTAAACTATGTTCTTTTTACTGCAATAATACAAGATTGAACGTAAATTTATTTATAACAAACATCTATCCAAACTATCAGATATCTATTAGAGAAATAGTAATTATAAATACTTACCGATCTGAGCTTAACTCAATTGGATATGATACTTACCTTTAATCAAAAAGTCGTGAGTCCAAATCCTCATCCCACATGTTATACTCAAAAATAAAGAAAGAGACATCTTACTATTAGACACAAATTTAAAGTTTAAGACACAAAATTTATAAGTTAAAAAACACAGTTGGTCCATCTACTTTCACTAAAGTAACAATTTAATCATTGAACTTCAGTTTGTAACGATTTAATCCTGGTACTTTTCCTAAAGTAACAATTTAGTCCATGTAGTTTAAAATTTGTAACAATTTAGTCCCTATAGTAAAAAATTTTATTAAAATTAGGTGTCAAATTTTATCATATAACAATTTAATGTTTCTAATTCATAAATATATTTGGTCCCTCTTTAGTTTATCAATCTATACCTACAAGAAACTTGACAAAAAAAAATTTCACGATAAAGATTAAATCATTACCAACTTTAAATTACTTGGACTAAATTGTTATATGCTAAATTTCAAGGACTAAATTGTTATCCTTGAAAGTACTAAATCATTACAAACTAAAATTTAAGGACTAAATTGTTACTTCAACGAAAGTACAGAGACTAAAAGTGTTTTTTAACCAAATTTATAATTTAACCAAAATAATATTAACACCCTTTATAGTTTATAAATAAGTCAGTGTGGCTCCCATCCATCTTCCCTGGCTGACTTGTCATCTACGGTACAATCGCAGCGCATCACACAAGACTTCACACAAAGATGGCCTCCTAATTAGAAGAATAAACCCACACAATGCTCTTTTTGCCTCTCCATTTCCAAGAACAAAAACCAACCAGTTCTCCACCCTATAAAAATCTATGGCGGACCTTCACTTTCACATCCACAGCAAAAACAAAACCCAAAAAGCATTACTAGAATATGGCATTTTCCAAATCTAACTTTCTCGCTCTCTTTCTACTCTTGTGCAGCCTTCACCTTGGCTTTGCCAATGAACAAGTGCTGGACGACCCCAATGCTCAGAGTGATATCATAGGCTACCGTCTGCCTTATTCGCAGGACTGCTGCGGTTATGGGCACCCGCCCAGCTGCTGCAACAACGGTGGCGGTGGCGACTATTGCAACCCCCCTTGTGTGCAAAATGGATGCGGGTGTGTGCAGAACCCGGGCAACAGATGCAGCGGTGGCCCGGTTTGCCAACCCCAACCCTGCAACAATGGTCCGCCGTGCCAATGGCAGGGACAGTGCCCGTCTTGCGGCTGTTCTAGAAGCAATGTGAAGTTTGGGACCCAGAATGAGCCTGAACACCCCACCAGTGAACCAATGCCGTCCAAGAATGAAGGAAATTAGGAGATGAAGCTCAAATGGATCATGTTCTTCATGTCCAAGATTACCCCATTAGCCAATAATGTCACAACTGCTAGTGGGTTGCAAATAAAAAATGCTTGCTTTATGATTTGAGTTTGTTTTCTTGTTATAATATAGAACTCTAGTTTAAATGCAGAACTTTTCTCTACGTATCAAGCTTTTTCATGAATATGTTACATATGCTGACTTTCACAAGTTCATGTTCAGTATGAGTATCCCTATAAACCTCTAGCCTCATATTTTCAAACACTTGATTTCGACCAAATCACATACTGATTTATATGCAACTATCGCTATTGGTACTGCTCCGCTGTCGTTTTCTTTCTCTCGGCTGTTATGTTTTCACTGCACTATCTTTTGGCTGGCATGGAAATGCTTCTCATAAAGCTTTCCATCTCAAACTTCGGATCAGCTGGTGAAGAAAGAGATGCAGAGGGTTGTAGAACAGGCGTTCTAGCCCTGCTTGGCCTTTCATTAGCAAAGGGATCAGATACATCTGATGCAGCAGTTGGCTGTAGCTCGATTTCCATATAGTCAGCTATAGTTTCGGGAGTATCATCAATAAGCCGATGGTCGTCATCCTCAAGTGACATCACTGTGCTTGTTTCGGTGTGAATCGTGGTGTCATCAGTGAATAAGCGAAGCCTTCTCTTTCTTCTTGCTGCCTTACCCCATCCATGCATTGTTTCCCTTATTCTTTGTGGAATTAATGCAGCTTTATAGTTTGTTCCCATCTGAAATAACATACACATACTGGTTGCAGTTAATCTTAGTACTCAGGATATGATAAACGCTGCCCCGCCTGTACGCCATGTTCGAGAAAAGATACCTGAGTTACAAGAGCATATAAGGGCAAGGTGCTGTAGCTGCAAAGGAACTGCCCGGCGAATCTACAGAAAAAATATCACGAAAACTGTGGATCACATGCAAGAAAAATAGCTCTTTAAGCAAGCACCTGACTGGCAAGAACTTCAATTCATGCATACCCCAAGATGAGTCTTGCATAGACAAGCAGATGATTCCTAATAAAGCAAGAATTATATCCAAATTGCCACTGTAAATTTTAAATAAAAACAAGTATTAGTTACAAGTAATTCTAGCAAATTTTCTCTATCCATATTTCGTGATCTTGTTTGCTTCGCTCAATATCATTTTCCACAGACAACCCTTTTGATTTTCGTAGAAATTAAGTTAATCATGGTTATGAAAGGGAGAAGTAGTACCCAGAACCAGAAGAATGATGCCAACTCGAACGCATTCTGCAATGAGGTTTAAACAAAAAGCTTTACTAAATCAAATACATAAAAAAAGATCAGTTTTCTAATGTAAATAATCAATATTGACCTGGAAAAGGATAAAGTGGATCAAGGACAAGAGGAGTTCAGGCTTCTTAAACCAGAAAAGATCATCTCTTGGCTTTAATTTCGAACCCGAGAAAGAACCAGTTATACCAGCACTCTCCAATGCCAATGTTGCAATTACATGCTGCAGCTTCGTGCCCACAAAAAGAACAAGCTACAAAAAGAATTTACCAACATGTATCAGGTGATTCAGGTTCAAACAAGGAGATCTACGAAAGCTGGTATAGAAGCATGTACGGTTTAAAGAAGTTTATAGGGCCATTATGTGTACAGCGGTTTTCGTGATGACGAGAGAATGAGATTATACTACAATGAATGAGAAAAAGAGAACAAGAGAGCGCACTCACAGTAATCGGAATGCTTGCTATCCAGAAATACAAATTAGAGCCTGCAGTAAAGCAAAGAAAGCAAATAATGATAAAAGTCAGCATGTTTTATAAGAACAGTCAACTCAGGTCTGAGTGTAACAGTTTAAAGTTGGATAGAAAACAGGTGATGGTAAAGTACTGAGGATCGATTTTGGACTTAACCTAATAATTATAAGATCAAATGAGGAAGAAGCAGAGGGAGGATTAATGGACACAACGATATATCGTGCTAGTGGTTCAAACAACTGATTGGTTGGACTTAGTTGTCCAACAGAGTGTTTTACCTTTAACATTAAAGAGCATGAATGCAACAACGAATCCCCACAGCGGGCCACTGCATTAAAGTGAACAGGGTATTAGCTTTCACATCTCCTAGGGGATTAAAATAAGCAAGCATATATAGTCAAATAATGCTAATTTTCCAAGAGATGAAGCTATTTACAATAAATATTTACTTTGGGTGAATATTCCAACTCCTTTATCCTTTACAACTTAAGAGGAGGCAAGTTTATCAACAGACTATCTCCAAACTCACATGTATTATAAATGGCAGCGCCTTTTTATTGTCACATGGTGCAGACAAATCAATACTTTCGAAAAGACCAACATTTCAATGTCTTTAAAAGACTTCCATAGTATCCCCTAAAATTAGTATACATCGCTCCTGCAGCCTGAATGCTAATCTCTAGTATCATATTTTTCTAAACTGAATCTAAATTGAAATTTGCAGTCATTTCTCCTACCTCACACCAACTATCCTTTTGAATTCTTCTTCCATTGAGCGAATCATGTAACTGTGGAAATCATATGTCAAGGAGAGGTGGTGATTCTGCCATACATAAGATCAAATGGAAAATAATGTTGTAAATATTTAGGGTCTTATCAATACAGATTAATATAGCTAAATACAAGTCACCTCGAATATTGCACAAATCCTCCCAACTCAAACTAGGGAATTTGCAAAAAGATTCTCCAGATATGACAGCATGACAAGAGGCAACTAATGAAACAAATGCTGGCTAAACATATTTAAGTACCATGATGAAGCCCTTGCGGAGTGTGAGATAGTCGGCACGAACTACAGAATTCCCAAATTGCCGGAAGAAACATGTCTACAATTTATAAATTTAATTAGTTCAAGTAGAATAATATCAAAAGATATGCCAAGGTAGCAGTGAAACTTGAAAAGGGCAGGAGGAGAGACTGCAATTCATAAGTGTAGAGGCTAAACCATAAGGAAAAGGAAAGAGAATCATGATAAAACTCAGAGATTCAGTTAGAGAATCCAGAGAAGTAAACTAATTTGTTGAAAGAAATACAAAGGTCAATAGCCTTTCTATAGGACCATCTCCAATATCCCAAATTTTTGTCTACCTCACTCACAGAGCTTCATATATTTATAATCGTTGGCTAGTAACAACTCTAACGACTCTGATAAACTCTGACGTCTGACCGTGTCATATAACTATCCTATACTAGCTAAATCCTAGTACCTATCATTATTCTGCCCCAAAACACACCTTGTATTGGTACCAGGGACAAGATATATTCATCTCTTCTGACACAGATTCCCTATAAATTCATGCTCGGAGTTTTAGCTTGATAAAAAGCTACTTTGCCATGCTTAGAGATTTTCCTCATCCCTTTGGAACATAAAGCATTCAATTCTAGTCATAGCTAAACCCACTCTACGTTACTTCGCAGCAGTTCTCAACCCTCTCACATTGTGAATGTTTGGAAACTCAGACTCAACTATAGCTCATGCAACCCAAACGTTTCTACCCAAACATGTTCACCTTACTTTTATCCTCAAATTTTGGCGTTGCCACTGTTGTTGACTCACAATTGGTATTATTTAAAAGGTTGAAGGCGACCTCTAGGCTTTTTTCCTTAAAAGAGGTGAGACGTAAGCCTCAGGTGGTAGGGGTGCTCGTAGGTTGGGTTGGGTTGGGTTGGGTTGGGAGACATCTTGGACCCAACCCAATTGTTTGGGCTACAAACTTGTCTAACCAAAATAATCCTCACCAAGTAATGGCTACAAACTTGGATTGATAATGATTCTCTCTAATTGACTACACATTAAAACTGTATCCGTGCATCAATTATTCAAGAAAATGAATTGTTGTTCCGTCATTATCTAATGCTGGTTAGCTAACAATTTGCATTCCCTACGTTGCATCAAGTAGTTTAATGCGATTATACTTGATCAAATGTGAAAAACTTCCTGAGTGACCTATGTATAAAAAATTAGTCGACTTGCTGACTAACCATTTATATAGAAAAAGAGTTTACTTTCATCATTATCCAATTCTTCCATTTGATTTCATCATCAGGTCCTTCTGGATGTAGCTCATCACTGCATACCAGAATGAAGCAGACAATCTAATCACTATAAAAGCCCCTTGAAATTACACCCTTGGAGAACGTACATAGGTCTGAAAATACTTGTTGGATAGATGGATCCAGTGAGTGCATCATGCATATCAATTTAGTGGGAGGAACGATCGAAGACTATAACATAAAACAGAGTATGAAGTGTGGAAGTAGAAAGCATACCACCCACATGAGAAAACCGTTCCTGGTCATAGGATTTGAAGCGTGATATCGAACAAAGGTTGATTGCCTCCGCATCGTCATTTCTCTTGTGATGTCTAAGATGGTATAGAATTAATTGTTAGTTTAACCAAAATTTGTTTTTAAACAAAAAAATAGATAAATAAAACTGCCAGCTCACTTGGAATGTTAAAAAGAAAGCAAACAGCCTTCACGCTGCAACATACTAGATACAACATGACCTCTAAATATAGGGGAAAATATTTGCTTCATGAACCTTCATCCGAGAGAGGATAAATAAGCAAAAGAATGAGGTACACACAATATTGAATCTACTTGCCTTAAACTTCTATATTTTCAATATCACTAAAAAAAAAAAATTGCATTTTGTAAGATAGGACTAATATAAGAATTAGATTCATACTAGTCATCTATCCAGTGCCTAAAAGAAGATGACTCTCAAATGATATGTTTTCTAATCCCACATAACTTGACCAAAGAGCTTACCATTTAGTGAATCATGTCTGTCCACGTGGGTTTCATCTTCCCATACTCTCCATCCGTGAATCTGAGTTATTGTATATTAAACAGTTACAACTGGTAACAATTTGGATGTAGATGATATTAAGAATTCAAAAGTAAAAGAAAACTATGAAATTCAGAAATCCTTGTTTTAGGGAGTCTGAAAATTTCTCACAAGGTTTAGTACAAAATGTTCATATATACCTTCACAATTGCCAGTAACATTGTTAAGCAGCTATAAGATATATGAGTTACTGCCATTATAAAGATAAAACGATGCAATTGCTCAAGACCTTCATATGAAACAAACGGCTCATAACCCTGCACCACAAGAAGTGTTTGAAATTTTCAATCAGCATTAGCTTGGGAGAAAGAGTTCTTACTATGTCATATGAACTCTGTTACATACCTCTTTGCAGGTGTTCTTATTCACATTAAGCATCCGCCTGAACAAATGGGGTAAAACAGAAACCGTATATAGTTTCCGTTCCTCAGTTGAACTGTCTTCTTTTTGTTCCTCGATCTCAGATTTGGTGCATGGAGTAAAAGGGGTATCATAGAACTTTGATGGGATGCAGATATTTGCTATCGAGGTTGATGTAGCGGTTAAAAGGAGAGAAATAAATCCAAGCAGCATTAACTCTGAAACCAGAAAGCCAAATGACTAGAGTTAAAAAGAAAAATGAAAAATACATCTCTGGGATTAAATACACTAGCCAGCCAGAATACATAAGCGAACTTTTAAGCACGGTTAAGCGGTTGAATGAATAGCTTAAGCCAATTACCTTCTTTCATTTTCTCCACTGCCTCAAATAATGGCTTTCGGTTAGTTTTCCCCAACCACTGACAAAGCAGAAGGAACAATCACAAATTATGAATAACATAAAAATCTCTGGCTAATAAACTAAAACATAATGGAGTAAGGAGAAAATGAATAAAGTCAGTCTTCTAAAGTGTAAAATCACACATCCACCACATAAAACAAAAGTTTCTTGAGCTAGACCCAGTCAGCTTCAATATCAAAGAACAACATTGAAATTCACAAAAAAGTTTATCAAATTAGCAGGTTCCTCAGATTCATGTGTGGGTCAGTTATGATATAATCACCAGGAGAAATGCTTACAGTGCTTAGCCGGTGAATGGACCGCTCAACAAGCAAAGAGACTGCAACAAAAATAGTCAGCACAGATGCAACAGACCAAGTGGGCGTCAAAGCCAAAGATCGCATCTCCTGTGCATTTTCAGCCATCTCAAACAACTTTTTCAGATAAACCTTCAGATATGTTCCTAAAAGCTCAAGTTTTACACCAATCTGGCAGGCTTACCAGACCTCAATCAAGGTCATCGATGGTCACTGTTCAGAAAAAGGAAGAAAAATGAAGCACTGCTAACTTCCCGAGGATGGCTAGATCATTCAAAGTATGAACAGAAATCCCTGAAGTTTACATGATGCTTACTGCCAAATAATTTAAAAGAAAACTGTATTTGCCTTTGTGGAAAAGCTTTAAGGTCCCAATACTCCTTGAAAGTGACAAATGAAGAAGGGTGTGTGCGAATGAATCTTCTCTGATTTATTCCCAATTGATGAAGTCAGAAGTTCTCTCCTTCTCTCCTTTGCTGGGCGGGCCTGCCCCCTCTGGCTCTGAGAGTAACTTCAGTCCAAAAACCAGCTGAGACAAACTGAATATGACCTCGCGAGTATCCAGCAAAGAAATGGATTTAAATAACAGAGTACCAAGAGAATGCACCAAAAAAGTTCAATATATTGAGGGACCAAAAAAATCTCAGAATTCTAGGTCGATGCTTTCTTTACAATCTAGCAGCTCTTTCTACATCTCACGACCAAATTGATGAAAATGGACAAGTGAACGACTCTATCCGAGAACCCCTATAAGTAAGGAACTCTGGTTCACATTTCCCGAGGAGCAAACAAAAGCTCAGCAAAGAAACCACCCCTTCAAATGCATTCTACTTCCACTAGTCGCAGAAGCAGAAACATAAAAACCCAAATCGAAATGGCGAAGCTAGTTCCAGTAAGTTTAGAAGCCAAAGCTAAAACCACGAGATTTGACTGTCCAAAGACTATACTTCACAACCCCACATGCACGAGCACGAGCTCCCTGTTCTTGGGCTTTGAAACCCGTTGCCTCAGCATTGACTCCTCAATTGAAAGAAACAGAGAGAACTTATAGCAATACGCTAATGAAACCAAAGGGCAAATTATGAATGACCCAGAAGAAAGAAATTGCATGGAGACGCACAGAGAGATGTCAGTGTTATTTGGCTTCAAATCTTCTGCGGTTTCTGAAAATTTAAAATGGTGGGGCACTGCCCAACTGCACCAAAGCAATTATCTTTAAAGCCAAGTGGGAAAGAAAGTAAACTAATTTCTGATTAATCACTGAATTGGACTCTTTTGTTTATAGCCTCCGCTAATTGAGGAACATGTCAAAATCCAGAGAGAGAGCTAGTGATCCATTCCTGATTCCACACTGAATTATATATTAAGCCATTCAGTCCGCTCATTATAATATTCTTTTCAATTTAACTGTAAAATGGCAGTCCAGTGGCTTCAATCTTCCAGAAGGATTTTTCATCTGATTTTTAATCATCTCATTCGGACTCAATCTGCTCAATTTAGTTCAATCGATTAAAATATATATTTTCGGAAAAAAATCGAGGTTGGAATCTTCAACCCACCTATTGCTAAAAAATTAAAAACAAAAACAACCGCTAATTATATTTACCATCATATACTCTCTCTCTCTCTGTTTTTTTTTTATTTGAGAATCAAGAAGAATGACTTATAGAAAATGATGTTTTTGTTGGTATGCTAAAAATACAAAGGAAATCTATTTATTTTAGGGTGACATTATTTGAATTTTGAAGTATCGGGGTTCTCAGCATTTTTAGTTCATGAATCATGGCACAATAGAATATTGTATTTTGAATAAAACCAATGTATTGTATGATTTTTAGAATATGGTAGGTGAGGCATGCAATAGTGTGTATTTATTCTGTATTTTGTTATTTTCGTAAATTAAAAAAGTTGATTTTCATTAATATAATGTGCTGTTTTTTAACTAAAATTTTAAATAAATTTCTATTGGACCGAATATTGTAATTATGACCCCCTCTATATTATTTTTCTTTTAAAACGATAATACGAGATAAGTGATGTTCATCTCGTCCCCACAGTCTCTCGATATGAAATTAAGATTCCCCACATGATAAATTCCATTCACATAGCCAAATATCTCAATTATTTCCCAACTTTTTTCTTTTCTTTTCTTTTTTTAATTATACAAGTGGTGGTAGAAGGATTTAAAACTCAGAATAGAAATTTTGAATTAATTAAAATTTGTCCATTTGGCTATTGTGGCCTATGCCTGAGTTCAATCAATATCTCCAAGTAGGTTTTTTCTAGGAGAAAAAATAATTAGTATTACCGTTGATGCTGGGATTTTGGCTTCTTTGGTTATCGCCAATACGCACCAAACTTGATGATCACGAGACTAGATATCTGCAAAACCGAGCAACCCTAAACCGTTATGACTTCAGTCACACGAGCTCCAATACTTAAGTTAACGATGGGAGAATTACTCAATAAAGTAATTATGGTATTTTTTGCTTACCTCTCGGGTTTAGCCAGTAGTTCTATTTATAAAAATTTTGTCTTCTAAAACCTTCTCGTTGAATCCATCTAATTCGTTGTTATTGGACAGGGACTCACGGACTGGGGCAGGAGAGAAGATGGGCTTGGCCCTGGTCGACTCGATCTTTCCTTCATTGTTACTTGGGTACGCCTGCCTATTTCTTTGACCGATTCCATAACAATTAATAATATATTAATTATAATAAAAACATAGAATCCATGAAGAAGATATGCATATTTCTCTATCTCATATTAAAAATTGTACTTTATAACAACTCTATTTTTTAATTGAAAAAAAATATTTATAAAATGAGAGAGAGAAAGGATTAAATGGAGAAGAAAGAAATACAATTCAATCAATTAAGAATACGTTGGATTTAAGGTGAACCTACACCTTATTTTCAACCCTATTAATTTCTTATTCACATAAACATCATTTTAAGTTGATAAATACTCTAATATGATCCTGACTAGACACCAATCTGTATATATAATTAATGCTTTAATATTTTGAAATAGAATTTTAACAAAAATAAAGAATGATTTACGGAAAAGGAATATGAATAAGGAAAGTAATGTTCATCCTCCTCACTACGAGTACAAATTGCAATCCACTTATAGCTACCAACCTCATCGAGATTCTTCATTTTTTCAATGTAATGAATGACGTATGATCCATCTTTTAACTTATTTAGCACAGCCTATAGCATAAGGATGTAGCCAAATCCCAAGTCTCTTTCACAAATCAAGTTTCCTCAAAGCCAAAGAAAATGCTTTTTTTTTTCTTTTGTTTAAGTTAATATTCATTGGACCCCAAAGAAAGTAAACATTGGCTGCTGTTTCTCCTTTTTGTTCAATTTTCATTTCAATAATTTAGATTATTATTATTATAATGTTTGACGGTGAAAATAAAACAAAACTCTTTCATGGCCATGCACCCTACACTGGACTAAAGGAGGAGGAAAGACAAGACAAGAACTATAAATTAATAATACGTTAGTTGTGTAATAAAAAAAAGATGGTTCTTTTTATTTTTTTAATTTATTCTCTCTCTTATAATTAAAATTAAAATTTATAGTCAGTTTCTTTGAACTTAAAAAGAAGTGTGAGAGGTGGACGTGAAATACAATATCTTACTGAAAAAAAAATGTTCTGACATATTGATGAAGGCATTTGCAAAGAAGCCTATTACTTAAAAGAAAGGTATAGCAATTATAATTTCTTGCGACAAAATACTAATTAAACATGCCAGAAAGGACATTATTAAGGAAATTTAAAACGTGTACTTCACATTTAAGTAAATAAAAGTACTTTTTGTTTACTTTTTCTACCTTTTACGCGTATTTTAAAACGACTATTTATAAGATAATATTTAATATTCAAAAGTTTATGACATTTTCATTTTTTATCATGATATTTCTATTTTCAATCTTTTGATTGAAAAAAGAAATATAAATATATGTTGGAATTATTTTTGGTTTCTTATTATCGGTCCTTCTTCTTTTTTTTTTTTAAATGAAGTTTTGATTAAGTTAATATCTTTTAAAAAATAAAATAATGTTCAACATTATAAAACCATTTAAGTTTTTACTGTACTTGAGAAAAATTGAAGATACGAGGGGAAAAAAAAGACCTTATATTCATTTTGCTTTGTATGATCTTAAAATTTTTTTTTTACAACACTAACAATTTAGTAAAATCTCTAAACATATGCAAGTCACATAGCACATTTTCTTTAAAAAATAATAAAAAGAGGTAGATAAACTAACCTTCAACATATAATTCCAAGTTGAATTTTTTTTAATTATATTAAGCTTACAGACAAAATCAGATAAAATTTTGGGTGAAGAGAAAAAAGATCGTGCAACGAAAGGAAGTATACCTTCAAAACTTTAGTTTCTAAAATACATTACTCTCTTTACAATAAGGTAAGACGATCCAAATTAAAGTATTACAATAAAACATATATTGAAACCAAACTCAAAGTCTCAAACAATAGGAAAAAAAAAACATAATAATTTAACTAAAGGNGAGCGTTACAAACAACCCACAACAAAATCGTCGCTTTGGGCCTGTCAAGTACTTACCAGAAACAGAGAAACTAGTACTGACAGAAAAGATTCTAAACTGGAACCGTGTACAGGTCAACAGAAAGCTCTATCATCCATACTATTAGAACTCTGATAATTTGAAACCTCCCTATAGTCGCTATTATTTTTCCAATAATTGATGAACAATTTAATACAGAACCTCCCTCCTCTCACAACCATCAACCCTCCAATTTCTATGTTCCAGCTGTAACAATGTAGAGAATTTTCAGCCAACGAATATTAGCCTTTCTAAAGTTGAAAACATTTATGTGACGTTTCATTTCAATAATGTGAACATGATTTGGAGCTGCTTTCATATGCAGTGTTGCAATAAATAGAAATGCCTTTAATGACCTACTATATGAAAGTCTGTTTCAAAAGAAATGTAGAAGCTAGCTAGACATGTTATATTATAGGGGTGACTTTTTTTCCAGCTTTGCCCAACAGAGAAACTAGGGGAAAATAGAAGCCAAGAATAGATAGCCTACTTCGCCAACGGCCTAAGAACAAGTTGGGTGAGAAGCATTGGCAAAAAGATTCAACAAATACAAAAATAAGCAGGAAAACGTCACCAGACTGTCTCAGCCTGCGGTTGGACGCTGATCTTCAACCACATCATCCTGGTCTCCAGATGTCTTATCCTCGGTGTCAGAAAGAGGAGCCTCTAGCTCATCCTCGGAGACTAGAATCTGATCAGATGCATCGCCATTCAATTCTGTATCACTAAACAGATCCCTTTGAACAGGCACATTTCTTTGTTGCTGAGATGATATCACATTTGCAATGGCTTTGAAAGCAGCTGCAGCCTGATTGCTATCCACGCCTGAGTCATCATCCACACCATAGTCGGGTTCTTCCGACTTATCATCTACTCGAGGTGGCGGTACAAAGAAGGGAAGTCTACCCCTCTGCCAGTCGTGGAGGACCATTTTTGCTGCAGTTGTCAAGTCAGGTTCGCCGCCCTGGATAGATGACCATCCCACTTGAAACAGTTAGTTTTCTTCAAATCACAAGAAACCAGATTATTATTAGTCCGAGCCATCAATTCCTATTTTGAGGACTGATGATAAAATTATGAGGCAGATTGCCTAATCAATTAGGATACCCAACCATTTCGAGTACTAACACAACATTATCATGTATCAAGGATAAGGGGAAAGGACAAAACAATCCTGTTTTCTTTAAATACAGACTGCAAACCTTTATCATCTTATACACAATGAAAACATAAAATCCTTTGATCAGTATTTTAAATGGATGCCATACAGATAATAAGGAACCACTCTCAAGATAATAACGTACCCTTAACAGTTTGCCAGTCAACTTGCATAGCTGAATTAAGAAGTCATTATCGTCCTCCCTAAACACGAGACAACAAAGTTTAGAAAGAAATATTAGAAAGTCAGCAGCAATACGTATAATAAGCAAACTAGTGAATTAGAAATAATTTTACTGAGAGAGATAATTTTTCAAAAAGAACAATTCATGCAAGCTTCATTCTTTGTCGTCTAATACCAGCACTATGCTAACAGTTGCAGCACACTAGAACAGAGTAGTTGAATGAGCAGGTAAAAGAACAGTTAGGAGATTTTCATGGGTCCAACCATTAAAAGAGGGTCTTTCACCTTTTCAACGACATACTGTTTTTTATCAGGCGAAATATAAATCTCATATTGGTCCTCAACTTCTCAGTTTGCTTTTATTATAGTCCTTAAAACTTTCAACAAATCAATTTAAGTCCTTAAGTTTTAGGTTCCTAATAATAATAATAACCCCCCATGACATTATAAATGCGTTGCATGGCGACAATATC